TCTAAATGTTCGCTTTGAATACAACTATTATAGCTCTAATTGATTTATATTCAAAACATTGGTCAGGAGAATGAAAAAAATTGAAACAATCTCGGATAAAATCAGCTTCTACGACATATTCCATCTCAGACTAAAATCCATTCATATATACTCAATGCACTAGAAAGATGTCAGTGCCAAATATCAAACGTTTCTATTAGTGGCATGGCTTGATCAAAATAAGTTTGAAACTTGCAAGGGTTTGTGCAGGACTTAACGTTCATTTATGTAATCTTCATTTGATTACACTAACAGAGATGTCAAAATGGTGGAGTTTGTTTATCAAGAGACCAGCATGATATCATTACATAGTATTACTAATTGTTGGATTGCAACTTTTTGTCCAATGTACTGCTCACAAAATTGTATACTTTTAATATTTCCCTTTACCTTCAAAGACAAATCAAATATTTAATTTCGAAACATGTTTAACCTGGCCTCTATCTTCTGGATCAGACCTAAGAATCCAGAAACGACAATGGTCAATATTTATCGATACATTTATCGATTTTCTTTAATGCTGATGTCATCCTGTAGCCGCCGACAGTCTTTAGGATTTGTCGATAAAAGCCGACTGCATTTATGCAATCATCGATCTACATACCACTTAATAGCGACAGCAAACAAATCTAAGAATATGACTGTCAGAATTCAAAGCAAATTTTCATATACCATCATAATAATCTATATGCGCAATGACTATCTCATATGTTGAGGTACACACAATTTACAATATTGCATAATAATGAGGGATCTATCGCTCAGTTCATAGTGCCAAAAGCATTTTTTTGTAACTTTATCGCAACAGATAAAGCGAGATAGACCATGACTATAATCGATGACATGCCTTGCTCTGGCATGTCAGTGCTTTCGTTGTTTTTTTTTTAAAAATCTTTTCAGACATTATATTTAAATTGGATAGCTGCACATATATGGGTAGGAGTCATGACTGACTAACGAAACATATTAGGTTGACGCATCAGATGTATATTCCGATCTATCCCTTTATCTGACTCAAAGCACTAATTCAACAGCAAACATATCCAATCACCATATTAAAAATTCAAACACTTTAAATTTCTGAATGTTTGATCAATCCTGTATTTAATGGCATATACGTATCATTGCTGATGGCTTCTGTGTACAGAAAACCAAATCAGTGCAGCATTTTCTGGATCTGTATGTGTTTCAATCACATTATGCTAATTCTCCACCATCAATTCTGGTGCTAAAATAGTAACGAGTTTACCAGACTGTAAAACGACTGAAATTCCATTAATAAAACATTGTCTCTGTAAATTTACTTTTTAGTTTCATCTAGGATATGATCTCAAAAGAATATTGTCTCTTTAATATTATATTCATTATCAATCGATCATGTCCAGCAAAGTTCATATATATATATATATATATATATATATATATATATATATATATATATATATATATATATATATATATATATATATATATATATATATATATATAATGCTTCTATAGCAAAAAATACCCAGTCTTATTTTCAATCCTTCTCCTTTCTTTAGGCATTATGGGAATGAGAGCTACATAAAATATTATACTAACCTCCGAAATTAAAGAAGTTTAAATCGTGCAACACTTATACCTCTCAGAAAGTAACGATTTAACAAAAATGTTCCCCAATCGGTCATTTGCATCTTACTTTTTATCAAAACATGATAGTGTTCCAAATTATGCTTTCAGAGACCAGATGCACGGGATAATGGAGACGCACCAATTATAATTTGAATTGAAATGTTCGCGGCAAAGGAAAACTGAGTTTGAATGTCAAACCAAGAGGCGTGAAAAGCATATTTGGCAAGTGTGTCATCACGTGGTAATATTTGGACCAAGTCTGAAAGCACTAACGTTGTAAACAATTGACTCAAGAAGCTAACACTATTTCTGACTCTAGAAGCTGTGAATTATAATGTCAAACTCAGTTTTCATCTGCCGTAAACATTTCGATCCAAATATAAATTGGTGCGTCTCCATTAGCGCGGATCGGACTATGTAAACGTGATTGACTTGGCTAGCACTCGTGGTCTTGAGGTTAGACAATGTGAAAATTGGTCATCCATAAAAATTATATTTCCAGCAAAAATGTGTGAGCAAGCGACGTGTATGGTGAAAGGCGCAGATAGAATTGGCGAGGTTTGTTTTCGCCTTTCTAGTACATTTACAACTACAGAATTTGATACTGAGAAAAATCCAAGCTTTCTTTGCAAAAAGTCGATTTTGTGTCCCTTGATCATTTTCTTTAAATGTATTTTCTTACATTTTGCAATGTATACATATTAAAAACAATGACGAATAATTATGCATTTGAAATGACTGATGTCAAAAAAAACACTATTTAATAAAAGTGACAAGGATTTTTGTACAATACATTTTCGTAAACGAGGGCGAGTATTGTCGACATCTTGTGATTTATCTTGACACCGCACAATCCAGCTTTGTTTATCATGGCTAAGAACGTATATATGTACTAGAAATGCGTGGCTAAAGTGTCACACATTCTAACAAATTCGAATTTAATAGATGTATCCTGAAAACCTAAGAGGCATTACGAAGTCCAAGGAAATTGACTTAAGTGCAGTCCAACTTCTCAATTTAATACGAAATAATTTCCTATGCAGACAATCCCTTCTTTGTTCATAACGAACTGAACAGCCATCCCCACAATATGATTCCAATAGAAATTGTCGTGTAGCTGATACTGAAGCCTCGTGTTTTTATTAGATCTCTTACATCATAATGATCGTCTTCTGCTGCGGAATAGGTTAATAGCTTCCGCTGGGAGTTAGTTTGCACCTACCGACGGGAAGTCGACACAATTCCATTCGTTTTACTATTACTTAATATGCCGATGCTTTCTCGAACTGGAAGAGTCCATATTGTGACTAATCTATAGGTGGCGTCTGTTAGATTATGCATCCCATTCCATTTGTGCAGTCAAAAGTGAACACCTATGAATCAAACTATTTATTACCCTGACACTTCTGTAAATTGCTGACTAGAAATATTACCCCAACATTATTGAACACATTTGACTTGAAATCTCAAATCAAACATGTTCAAAATTGAATCATCGTTTATTTTCTTATTAATATTCCTACGAGCTTATGGTCACAATCTAAGTAACAGAAAGAAGCAAAGCCAACAAGTTTTTTTAAGCACAACAAACAATTTAATTGGCAAAGTTACAAATGAAAATGTGAAAGAAACTATTATAATCTATTATAAACTGAATCTCAAAAATTCTGATAAAATTATATTAAAGTCCAAATGATTGAAAAGTTCAGTATGCATTTTAAACATGAAATGTAAAGGTCCGCTAAGAATCGTAACGTTATCAAAATTGCGTAGTCCAGAACTCCGTTGAATAATTCACAATACTTACAGATAATACTATTGTCCAAATAATGAGCACTTTCCATTTCCACTGAACAGTCCAAACAAATGTTTTTCCTTTTGGAATAATATACCAATACAACATAAAACTCGTCTGCAGACTTAAAACAGGAACACAAAAAAAATGATAGCGACTCCAAAACTAGGAATGAACCTGACAGCTCAGTTCTCTATTTATATACACCTTTTATCACGAATCACGACTATATTTCACAACATACCCCACGTGATGGATCTGACTACTCGAGCTTGCGTATTCATGTGACTTAGACCGACTAATGGGAATTTACTGAATTCTTCTAGAACCGTCCAATTCACATCCGCCAAAGATAAAATAATCAAAGTCGTCATTAGGTCCACACTCACCTAACTTGAGTAGAAATACTAAAAAGTATACGATATAGAAGACAGATGACGGACCCTGTGTGATGAATATCAGATGATGCTCAACAATGACGAAACAAACACGATAACTTACTGGAAATGACATGTGATGCACTGTTTATGAAAACTATGATCGAGTTGGAACTGTTCCATGATATTTAGCAACATTTGTTTATTGAACATAGTATTTATGGATTGATTTTTATGGCAAGTCAGTGTTACTCTCACACAAACAATCTGCTTGTAGTTGGATGTTACCCGCAGTCCCAAAAACAGTTATATTAAGCATTTATATGAATATAGGATGATGTATGATGTAGCACATGCCTGTAGGTGAATCCTCATTGAACGATCCAGTGGATTTAGGCATACACACTCAGACACGAGCATTATCATAAGAACAACTAAAGACACTTCTTTGATGATGGCATGGAGTATTCGTAAAACACCTATGAACACGTTTCTGACATATTTCCGATAGTTGACGCGGGACAGCAGCACAAAGCAGTCTTAAGCCAATTAGTGAAAAATAGTCTGTCTATTGAAGACAAACTGATTAGAATCCCTGACTTTAAGATGGTACTGGTTGAAATGATCACCACTGATGTCACCGCGTACAAATACGGAACTATGGCGGATGCAACGAAAACCAGGTAACTGAGTTATAGGCGGTTGAATTTAACTAAACAGTTTTTTGTGTTAATAGATTTACCTGGGAGTTTAAGCTCAAGCAATACAAATTCCAACATTAAGCAACTGATCTTGAAATTTATATTGTGTCCAAAGGTTTAGACAATAAAATGTTTCTATTATAAAAAAGGTGGAAGGAGTATTAATTGTGCTTAATATAGACACACAAATGTTGTAGTTTTTAAAGGTATTTAATATAACTCTACATATACGCTGGTATGGTATATAATAAAATGTGTGATGTGATTATGATTTTATAACGTAGCTTTAATAATGTTTCAGTAATACGGCTACGATGTCTGCAGTGTGGCAGTTTATAGTGATGTCTAGCATTGGGGCATCATGCCGGAGACATGTGGCATGATGTCCCACCCATTCACATTATCATGACACCAGGCCTACCAGTCCCAACACTAACCTCTTAATGCGAGGCAGCTGTTAGTATCATTTTTGTAAGTCTTTGGTAAGAATCGACCAGGGATAGAACATACCACCTCCCGCATCCGAGGCGGACGCTCTAACCACTAGGCCACCGGAGCGGTTTAATAAAATAATCGGCTCCCTGCGACATTTAGCCGTACGGGAAAAATGCCATAAAACAGATCAATAGATTACAGTAAAATGTAGCTTGGGATGTTGATTAGTTTAAAGCTTAATTAAAGCCTTTAATATTTTCAGCTTTTATAAACTCGTAACCCCAATGGCATCAAGGAGGCAAAACTAATTTGTCACATTTAAAAATTTAGTGTAATAGAGTGTGAGCTTTCACTGATTGCACTGAAATAAAGTAAAGATCAGAAATAATTCAAATATATGCATACATAAATGCAGTAATAGTTTAATACTGCATACAAGACAATATTCCAGAGTTATTTAGGTGGCAGTATTTTTCGTCAACTCTATCTGGTCTCGCAAACTGGTTACTAAGCCATCCACATGTATAGTCCCAAAACGTACATTCTTTACCAAAGATTTATCTTGCTCAGATAATGAAAAAACTGACAATGTGAAAAGCGTAATTTTTCCAAGGAATTCCTTTGAAAACAAGGAATTCCTTTGAAAACGGTAAATTTAAAATAAAATAAATGACATTTATTGTCACATATCATTGTATCATTCCTTTATTTATTAAATACGTCTACTCGGGTTTCGCCTTTTGTGTATAACGATACCCTAGGGTAGTTTATAATTATTGTACATTATTTCGAAGCAGTGAGTTATGTGCATCATATGTTGCACATGAGAGGTGTTTCCGATGGGAAAAACCGGATACTTCCAGATCACAGATGATGTAGTGTTGCATCATCATTTTATAAATATCTCACCATAAGATCAACATTTTTACATTACGGAACATCTTGTCAATGAGCAGTATACTTAAGGATTTGCACATCGTTTTCTGTAGAGGTGTGTGAGTTATTTATAAAAAATATGTATAAGTTACAACTTTTGTACTACTTGTTTATTTTTGTCTATTTTCTATGTAGCGTCGGCTTATGTAGCATAATGCATATTCTTCGTTCTGACTTAGCAAGAGATTTATATTAGCAATATAAATTTGCATTTTTAAGAAACCTTCAGTACGGTAGGATTTTTATCGGACATGGGTAGATTCACTTCTAAACATGTTTATTGCTTTGTAGTGTTGTGCCTATAAAGTAATTTGTATAGCTGATTGTATATAACGTCATTATGTATTATCGTATATGCCCTTATCATGCATAATACACGGTGTTGGATGTATTTTCAGCTGATCGGACTCGACGTGGTACCAGCTGTAGAGTTAACCATAGTTGTTGACCATAGCAGTTGTAAAGCTGAACCATAGCAGCTGTAGAGCTAAGTGACAGAATTGCTGGTTGAGTAGCCGGTGATCGGGCGTTGTTCATCGATTAGTGGACGCTGATTGTTTGATTGACAACGGAATGGAAGGTTGGTCGGTGACTGATTAATTGACGAGTGTGACTGGTAGCCAAATATGCTAGTGGCGAGTGTTTTGTTGCTCCATACATGTAATCTTTTTAGCCTTGAGCTAATTTTGGGGGTTTGTTATAACCAGTGTTTTGGGACAGTAATGTTATTTTACATGATATATGTCCCTTTGTTTTCATCACTTTTACTATCTGAGTTAAGTACCTCATTTTTCACTGTTTGATAGAATACGTCATACAATATGAGTAAAGTACATCATTTTGCTATTTGACTAAAATACATCATACTTTCCTTTGTGTGAATTTATTGTGAATCATTAACCTTTTTCCTTTTACTATGTAAAATCATTTATTTGTATTCACATTATGTTGCATTATTAGGTTCGTGCGGATTTATGTTAATTTTGTCCAATATTTGGATCTTACACACTCATAATTCTTTCCTCATTCAATTATTTCAGCAATAAGCATTGTATTTCTATCAACATCAAAAGTGTTATGTTTTAAATACGAAATCCAACCCGGTTATCTTGTTACATTTGTTATTTATTAGATATAAGCTCATATTGTATATTCCCTGTCTTCAAGCTTCCCTTGCTGAAACTACTGAAAACAGACCTTGATAGAATTTTACAACGAAACAGTAGACTTTTGGAACATATTAGATTGGGATGCTTCCTGGTTTAATTATGTCATTGTTTATTGATGCAAGTTTGATGTATTTTGTTGAAAACCGTTGCTAGCTTGTCCCAATGCATGCTATTAAGATTTAGGTCACGTTTGTTTGATTTTGTTTGTATTGCAATTGCTTCACTCGGTTGGGTTTATTTTTTGGAGTTAAGGTGGGAAAGCTAAATACCACAAATACTGATTAATAAGGACGTTCTACCACGTGAAGGGAAAATGCTACTTTAGGTCATTTGATGAACTTTATTATCATTATTTGCCTTATTTAATATATATGATATTATAGCATGTTATCATAGCATTTTATGTGATTCTAACTGGTCCAAATTAGCCCCTGAAATTACTGTGCAGTATGCTCTATATTGATTGGCTGCTATCGAAAGGAAACGTATTAAATCACCACCACGTCCAACCTTTGGAAGGTTTTAGTTTTTAATGAACACATCTCAACTGGAGTCACTAAAGCAATCGTGGGGGGAATGGACTCGTCTGTCTGATTATGGTCAATTGACTTCCACAGGAGGTTATGTCGTCTATCATAACATGAAAAATAGTTAAAAGCCCAAGACAACAAGTAAAACTAAGGTCATTGCTGCCATGCTCAGTTGATAGCGTTTGTGTCGAGTGAGATAGTAGGGATTGGTGGTGGAGGTTGCCGGTATATCAATAATATGTAATCAACCTTATATACAAGAGTGGTTTAACTTACATAAGCAAACTAAGCTTACCTGTCACAGAAGAATGTGGACATAACATGATCTCCAAACTGAACAGACGTTTATCCAACCGCAGCATATTTACGCGGTAAATATGCGATACAATTTCGACTCATAATTCAAATTATTTACATCTACAGTCTGCTGTTCCAAATCAGATAATACAAATATCCGGATTCAAAACACCTGCATCCAGTAATCCTTCTTTCATATGAATATCGCAACACTCTGATGTTTAGTTTTGAAAGTTATACTTTAGGTTACGTAAACATGGATCTTCAATTGTACTATAACGGGTACTACATCAAACAATGTATGTATCACACAAACTGGACATTCTGCATTGAAAAATGATTTTGTCTGTGTAAAATGTTCTGCTTATTAGGAAGGACGCTTAGATTTTAAGATCTACTTTTAGACTGTAATATTTGTTTAACTTTGTTTGGTTCAACGTTTGTCAGAATGATAAAAATTGCGAGTTCTTCTTTGTATCTAAATAATTTCCACTGAAATAAAAACCCGTTGAATATTGTCCAGCTTTTGCTCGCCAAGACTCACAAAAGCTTAACATTATTCAATTCGTTTCATAAATTCATTATTAAATCATTACCCATCTGAGATCCTCTTTCTATGTAACAGCGAGTAGAGTATCCAACTGAATGTTAGGGAGTGGTTCGTAATGTTCAGCATTGTTCAATCTTAATGTTAATTAAAAGACGCTGCCTCTCCTGCGTATAAAAGTGTCCTTTATAGGACCGCATATGCACCGTTATCTCCATTGGCATGTCTTTTACGTGTATGTTCTATTTCATGACAATCCTAAAATAGGCATATCTTGAGGTAACATTAGATGTACTAGTAAAGGAAGGACTTACTACAATGAATTCCATTAGTGTGATTCTTTAATGTCCGTCCGTAAAAAGATATGTAGTGGTATGACTAATTTACAATTTACAGTATTGCTACAGAAAAATTAACCGTATCGCTACAGAGAAATGTTAAATTCCGAACTCTTCTGTTTCAAATAAATGTCTGTGTATATAAATAATTATAACCTTGCGTATAGTGACTACGTGTCTTTTTATCTGCTGAAACGAAATAAGGGGTACTGTATTACGATTGTGTTCGAAGCAAATTATTTTAAATGCCCCTGTTTATATTAGACTACATATGTTATTTTATTTGCAACAGATCGAATATTTCAGAAGTGATAATTATTTACTTAACATAACCAGATCCAGCAGCAAATTATGTAGTTGTAAGTTGTATATTTTGATGGGTGTTATTTAACAATTTCCCAAACACCACGACCAACTCCATGAAAACCGCAACCTTGCACAATCTGCATACCTCGCCTGTGTCCACTACATGTGGATAATTGTTGTTCAGATAATCGGCACCACGAGAGAGAATTTAGCTTTCAATATCAACTCAGAAACGAAACTTTTTGAAAACTCATAAATAGACTTTTTATTTAAAGAAACGCTTATGCAGTATTTCAGCCATGGAATTTTTATTTTGTCTTTATTTTGTATGCAATAAAAAACTTTTAACATCTTTATCTTATTTTGCCTTGAATCTTCTTTACGTTTGTCGAAAAAGTACTATGTACTTATGTGTACAATGATACACGTTTAACACACACTTTTTACACACGTATCAATGCATATAAACACGATCTGGCACAAAGTTTTTTTTGTACATTTGAGTGCATTCTTAGATCTGAAGTTCTATGAGACAATATGTAGCCATGATTTGTGCTGATTTGTTGTTATATAGTTTTATGAGACAATATGTAACCATGATTTGAGCTGATTTGTTGTTATATAGTTTTATGAGACAATATGTAGCCATGATTTGTGCTGATTTGTTGTTATATAGTTTTATGAGACAATATGTAACCATGCTTTTTTGTGCTGATTTGTTGTTATATAGTTTTATGAGACAATATGTAACCATGATTTGTGCTGATTTGTTGTTATATAGTTTTATGAGACAATATGTAACCATGATTTGTACTGATTTGTTGTTATATAGTTTTATGAGACAATATGTAACCATGATTTGTGCTGATTTGTTGTTATATAGTTTTATGAGACAATATGTAGCCATGATTTGTGCTGATTTGTTGTTATATAGTTTTATGAGACAATATGTAACCATGATTTGTGCTGATTTGTTGTTATATAGTTTTATGAGA